TATTTTAAAATGGATGGTTGGTGATAAGCGAACAAGATTAGATATCAATAAATTAGAAGATATGGCAAAAATTAGATTATATTATATTGCCAATATGGAATCAGAATTAAATAATAGTGAAGAAAAACTTACCGAAATAGAATTATGTGAAGCTATCAATATTTCAGCAATTAATGAAATAATGGCTTTAAACAAGAATGAAGATTTGCTTGATTTTGAAGAATTATCCGAAAATATGGATTCAACTCAAGATATGTTACTTATCAATAATATTATTGATTTGTTTCAATATAGTTCTGAAAATGAAAAAGAAATTAATACTAATACTTCGATCGAATCTGGAAACTTAAATTATTTACCTGAAAATTTAGTAGATCAATTTTTAGCCAATAAATTTTGATATCATGAATAATAAATATGTAGCACAATATAATATATTAAATAAAAGATCAAATCTGTTGGATGATTTTTGATGATATAATGTTTTTCCTTACTAATTGTCGGTAACTCCTTTGTTGGTGTGATGGTTTCTCATTTTCCTTTTATAGGTATCTTTTCTGTAGTCTCTTTTTTTTTTGATGAAGATAACGATGACGACTTTTCCAGCATGACAAGTACATGATGAATCTTTATGATGCAAGACTGAAAATTAATGGAAGAATCAGGTTTGTCAGGTGTTTTTTTTTTGTAACATAGTATCCCTTTTTCTTCGTTTTTACCCTTTCTGGCCTTTCTTTACTCATTAACACTCGTGCTTGCTTTACAGTGATCAAGATCGGCACTTTTTTTACTTGATGCAAGTATGCACCGGGATTCTGGGTGCCTAGCTGGTGTTTATTATCAAAATCCAAGATTTCTATTCTCACACACTTTCAGATTCGTCTGTCTTGTTGTAGTGTTGTCGTCACCAGCAAGTCTGTCGCTAAAACGGCTCACTCTTCACGTGACGATAATCCAAACACTTGGATTATGGCATTAAAAATAAGGTAAGGCTTTAACTCTGAAGCGTGTTACAATTTGATCAATTTTTCACACTTGCTAATCTCTTCTTGACCGTCTCAAGATTCCAAGCATCTCTTCACGGAGTAAACGTAATCACAAACTTTCTCGCTTAAAGTCTTTAATTTGGTTGTAGCATTGTTGATCATTAGACTACTTCTTCACGGTGTATAAACTTAGGGTCATTTGTATTTATTGTGTGAAAGAAATAGCATTTATTTAATAAAGCACGACAAAGCAAAGAGTGTTCTAAAACTCTAAACTCGAATGGTGTCTCCTCTCTCATACTACTTAAAACTATCTATTTATATGCCTTATTAGCGTGTTTACCCTATTTACATGCTATACTAATTGTTACATCATTTTATTGTCACTGCTACTATTATTACG